TCCGTGTCTCCGTATAAGTAGTGCTCCAGAAGCGCCTGGTAGATGAAGACGTACTGCATCTAAGAGGAGAGAGGGAGAGAGAGGGAGCTCTGAGCTTTATTCCTGAGGCTTTTTTTTTTTGGCCTGTGGTATCCTAAAGACTCTTGGGATTTCCGGTTCTGTGGAATTCTTGATTCTCTCCAAGCTTGACGACGGGTTTTCTTGCAGACGTTTCATGACCCCATTGAGTCATGTCATCAGTGCTAGAAGGGAATGGGGTTTGTACAGTGGAGGAGGAGGAGGAGGAGGAAAAGTCCCAGGATTCCTAATCCCAAGATTTTCCCAATCTCATAATCCCAATCCCAGGATTCCTAATCCTACTTCCATAATCCCAATTCTACTTCTATAATCCCAGTCCCAGGATTCTCAATTCCCAAATCCCAAGATTCCCAATTCCATTCCTATAATCCCAATCCCAGGATTCTTGATTCCAATATTCCCAATTTCCTAATCCCAATCCCAGGATTCCTAATCCTACTTCCATAATCCCAATCCAACTTCTATAATTCCAATCCCAAGATTCCCAATCCCATAATCCCAATCCCATTTCTATAATCCCCAAATCCCAATCCTAATATTCCCAATTCCACTTCTATAATCCCAACCCCAGGATTCTCAATCCCCAAATCCCAATCCCATAATCCCAATCCCACTTCCATAATCCCAATCCTAGGATTCCCAATCCCATAATCCCAGCCTCAAGTTTCCAAATCCCAACCCTGTCATCTTAACCTCAGGATTCCCAATCCCATAATCCTAATCCCAGGATTCCTAATCCCAACCATAATCCCAGTCCCAGAATTATGAGTAGAGTAAGAACGACCGAAGAGTCAGGCTAATTACAGAATTGGGGTGGGGGGGAGGCGGTGGGGCAAATGGCTCCCACCTGAGACGGGTTTTTGAGGAGAAGACTTACATCAGTCTGTACCATCTGGCAGCGTTGGGCCCGGATTCGGCTCACAAACCCATAAACATCCACCTTCTTCTCGGCGTGCATCATGTCCAGCATGGCATCGATCACAATGAACGTCCCCGTTCGCCCTACACCAGCACTAAAGGACAGGATGGTGAGGAGGGAGAAGGAAAAATATATCTTATATATATATATATGGATCTTTGGTTGTTCGGGTTTTCTCCTGCGTAAGATTCGAAGTATCTAGGCAACGTTTTGATGAAGTCTCATTCATCATCTTCAGGCTTCTTTCTCCGGCTCTGTGCTTCTCAGAGTGAATATATATATATATATATATGCAAATAAAGCCTACAAAACTTGAAATTTGGCGTGTTTCTTTTGGTGTCTAGGGACTCCCTAAGAAACGATTTTTCCAAATAACCATCAGAGCATTTAAAGCATTTTCTATATTATTATTATGATTATTATTATTAACACGCTCTGATGCTAAGGAGTTCTACTCCCCCTCCCCACCTGAAAAGAAATCCCTTCCAAAGGCAAAACACAAGCAGAGGAGTTTCGGTTTTAGTTTCAGAGCACCAAGCAGCTTTAGGACAGAACAGTTGAGCTAACCCACGCCCAGGCTCCTTGCTGTCTCCTCCCTGCTTGCACAGCAAATACCCTTTCAGTTTCCAAATAGCCCTCTACTCTCTCACACACTGACAGGACGCTAGCCGGGTGAATAACAATGGATGCCGGTAGGCAGAGGCAGGAATTTTTCCCCCCTTATTTTCCTCCCCCCAAACTAAGCCCGACCACATAGTTCCGTAGCGAAGCACAGGGATCCAGTTCACCTATTTCTATATGCAGTGGGTGGACAGGACAGACAGCCAATCTGGCCTCCCTTTGGATTTTGCTTGTCAGAAGGTCACAAAACGGGACCGTGGTGGTTAGATAACAAAGCATAATAATAGAATATTCAGACTTAGCATAAAAAATTTTTTTCTTTTTTTTTTTGATATTATCTTTCTAAAACATTATCAAGATAGATTTGGTATGATCTTATGATTTATTGCAAAATAAACTAAGTAAACTATAGTTATCTCGTTAAAGCATGAATTAATAAAATTATAGATAAATGATTTTGTAGTGATGATATTAGGTTATACAATTATTGATTGATAGTATGAGCTATTATGTAATATAATTATATTAGTGACTAGGAAATGGATGCACACAAAAAAAGTGGTAAACCAACCGATGCACTGTTTGTAAATTTATGAAGAAGGATGATATTTTTATGTTTTATGTGGTATGTCTATGTTGTTTTGTTGTTAAAATAAAAAACTTTTTTAAAAAAACGGGACCGCGGGAGACACCCCCCCCCCGCAAAGGACCCTGCGACCGTCATACATGTGAGTCTGTTGTCAAGCACCTGAATGTAAATTGTGTGACTGTGGCGGAAGTCGCAATGGTTAGGACCCTGTGACTGTCGTGAAAAATGAGCCGGTTGGCCAAGTGGCTGAATGTTAGGGACGCTGCGGCTGTTGTTTTAAGTCTGACAAACGGCCCCAAAGTCCCTGTTTTTCAGTGCCGGGGTGACTTCGAACGGCCACTAAATGAGCAGTTGTAAGTCGAGGACTATCTGTCGGTAGGAGCACTGCGGACTTGACTTGAAGGCCAATAAATCAAGAGAGAATAACGATGGTAACTTCATAAGAGATGGACTTCAACTCCCAGAATTCCTGAGCCAGCACAGCTGGCTCAGGAATTCTGGGAATTGAAGTCCACCGCTTGTGAAGTTGTCGAAGTTGGCCACCAGTAAAAAAAATGGTGCCTAGCCCGACCGGGAATGCCCTTTTCCCTTGTTCTGGCCTCCTGAGACATTAACAAACATATGTTAGTCCCTAAAACCTTTTGTTTTTATTTCAGAGACTGTGAATTATCTGCATTCGCAGCCCCGTAACGAGTCCCAAAGAGTTTGTGAATAGTCCAATGGAAATCTGCCACAGTCCTTCGGGATAAGGCTGATAAGCACCCACCTTCATCTCCCTTGAAATGCTGCCAACGACTAAATTGCCAATTAGTTGTACAAGGCCAAAACAGAGCACAACACTGAGTTTCAGAGTTTAAATCGATCAGAATGAACAAAGTTGCTTCCTGCAAAGGCTCCTGTCCCTTTGTTCCTCCTTTATGTCTTATGGGAGGAGCCAATCACCTCCAAGCCTTACTCCGGAGTCGCCCCTTTTGACTTTCTTGCTCTTGCCTTCTGGCAGCTCTGTGCAAGCGCGCACTGGGAACAGGCTCCTGCTATTCCTCTGCCTTGCTGCTGTCAAGACTCCGGGCGGTATATAATTCCCAGATGGCCCTGGTCCCATCTCTAGGTCGGACGCAGGACCCTCATCTGTAGTCCTCCCCACAGACTCCAGCACTGGCCCATGGTCCTCTCCACCGTCCGACTCGCCTGCCGTCTCCACAGGCTGCCGCTGGACCGCAACATTCCCCTACCAAGGACACACTGACCTGCAGTGGACCACAATGGCGCCCGCGTATTGGGGGTTGCACGTCTTCACCTTCTTCAGGAACTTCAGCATCCCGATGGGCGTGAACGGTACCCCAAAATCCGGCCAGCTGGTGAAGTGGAACTGGGTCACCAGGCGCTGAGGTTTTTTATTGGTGACGTCGCCTACCTGGTTGGAAGGCGGGCGGGGGGGGGCAAAGGTTAGCCGGGGTTACTCCCTGCGGATACCTGGAAGCTCCGCCCCCTCCCCGAGGACCTACTTAGCTCTTGCTCCCAAGGTGTGGCCGAGGGATAGATCGGAAGATTGAAGGAGGGAGGGAAGGGAGGAAAAGGGAAGGCTGGAGAGAAGGAGGAGGAGAGGAGAAATTCAGGATGGGGATAG